CATACCTCCAAAATGGCAAAATTGCCTTTTGCAAAAACGCCTCGCGATCAAGTACGAAACGAATGATTTTTTAATCATACAAATCGATTATTATAATACGACATATAAATAAAGTTCAAAATTAAAAATCTTGGTACGAAACCCAAAAAAAATTTACACAAAATGTGTACACAATATTAAAATCTCTATAATATATCTGATAATTTGATGTACATATGTCCAATAAACATTTTTGACCGTTATGTGACATTTTTTTAACTTATTTTTATTAAGAGTCCATATCCGCTAGACCTGCCTTCCCAAAAATTTTACCAGCTGTTCATTTCGTCAAGCAAAATGTTTTTTGAATTATTAAAATTGGACGCTCCGTTCTTTGGGGCACTTTTTGGCCCGAATTTTTGGAACGGCTAGACCTGCTTTCGCCAAAAACTAATCAGCACGTCTTCTTATCAATACGAATCAAATGTTTTTTGAATTATTCAAATCGGTTGATCGGTGTTCCCGAAATCGTCGACGAAAATTTGTATCCGCAAGCACACACACGCACACACACACATACATCCATTGTTTCTAAGGTATGCCAAAATATTCAGAAACCTTTGAAACGCAAATTAAAAATAAAAATTTTCATTTTCGATTTTTGTGCGGGTAAGTTATAGTAATGGGCCGAAAATCGAAAATAATTTTTTTTCTATATCTCCAAGTTTGAACATTTTGGCATAAAATGGATGTTTGTGTGTTTTGTGTGTCCGCATTTTTTAGTTCACGTTTTCGGGCGCACGGATCAACCGATTTGAATGGTTAAAAAAACATTCGATACCTTTTGATAAGAATATATGCTAATTATTTTTTGGTAAATGTAGGTTCAGACGTTACGGCGATACGGAGCTAAAAGTGTAGAAAATAGAAATAGTGCAGTGAACGGAGCGTTTAGGGTCTGAATTTTTTTACTGTGCTCCGAATTGAATGAAATTTTGGAATTAGGTTCATCTTACCCTCAAGTTTAAAAGTGAAAACAATTCGGGTTGCGGTATCACCCCCCGGGGGGGATGACCCCCCTTCTAAATTGTGTAATTACATTTTTTCAAAATAACGCCGGAAAACGATAAAAGAACTAATTATAAGAAAAAAATGTCTTCTATAGTTTTTCAAAAAAACTAATACTTTTCAAGTTACTGGCCACTAAAGATTCATATATTTTAGGCGTTTTTCTTCGTTTTTTTGCAAATATCTCCTAAAATATACCTTCTAACGAAAATCTTGTAATGAACAAAATAATGTCAATAAAATCTTAATAAATCGGTATTACATAAAGTGTTCTAGGAAAATATTAAGCAAGTTTGAAAGAGCGAAGTCGTTTTTTATTTCGTTCAAGATTTAATTGTTGTATTTAAAGCCATCTAGTGTCGAGGTTTTACATTTTATGCATTTCGGTGAAATTGGGTTTTATAGTGCTCAACATAAGCTTTAAAATGAGTACTGTTACAAGTTTTTTGCGTGTAAAATGAGTGAGCTATCATGCAAATAAGAAGCATATACAAAGTTTTTTCTTTTAAATCATATGGTTTAATGAGCGCCATTTCCACCAGAATTAAAGTAATTCACATTCCATCTAGCATTCACTTCATTATAGAAATCTTGATGGATTCCAGCAGATTCACTACTTTAGTACAAACTATTTTCGAAAAACTCACGCTTATAAAAAACTTTTTTTTCAATTTTTTTAAAAATCGAAATTATTTTTATTATTTCTCAAAAGAATAAAGATACGTATAAAAGCATATAGATCAAAATCAAAAGGATCTTTCTGGCTTATTATTGTTTTTTATTATTTTTCTTTCACACAAAAATTGACAGAGTTATGAATGTTTAAAGACTGCGCGGCCGCGCAAATTGAAAAAGAAAGTTTTTATAAAATCGTGAGTTTTCTGAAATAGTTTGTACTAAAGTAGTGAATCTGCTGTAGAATCTATCAAGATGTCTATAATGAAGTGAATTCTAGATGGAATGTGAATTACTTTAATTCTGGTGGAAATGGCGCTCATTAAACCATATGATTTAAAAGAAAAAACTTTGTATATGCTTCTTATTTGCATGATAGCTCACTCATTTTACACGCAAAAAA